GACCCCCTCGCTGTATTAATGATTAATTAATTAATACATTAAATATATGTATATTTAAATTTTATTTTTATGTTGGTCGAGCTAATAAAGATTCTTTTTAATTAAATATATATTATTTATGAAGAGATGAGGCTCGATATTGCTCGGATCAATGATAATTTCACAAGAAGATAAAATAAGAATTTGTATTATATTTGAATGTGTGAACACAACCACTTGATCATTGCAGAAAAAAGAAACATCTCAAATTGTCCTATCTGCACATGTAACATGTTAGTGTTATACATTATCATGAAATTATTAAGCAAAAATTGCACCCTAAGTACCTTTTTTTCGAACCCTACTCACTCGATTGTCGGGAGAGTTCACTTATCGTCGGATGTAGGGCCGATGAGGATGAACAAGATAGGAGGATCAATTGCAGAAAACAAAGATAGTTCAAGAGAAAGAATATGATATTTTATTGATTGTGTGTGTGTAACCTTAATAGGATTTTCGTACATCGTTTGTATAGAGAAATATATATAGTTATTTAATAATTTATGACTCTTTTATCTGTCCTTAATTTACATCAATCAATCATCAACCTTGATTTATACACTTTTCTTATTATTTGTTTGTGGCGAATATCTTCAAATTTTCTTCACATAGTGGCTATTTTTTAGCTCGCCACCTACTCACTTTCCTATCTTACGAACTCATATTTTATGAGTCGAAGAGTGCCAATGGTCTTCCGGTTGTGCGAACTCTTTGACCTTCCTATCTTCCCATTCTCTTTCTGGTGAACGTCTTGACTTTTATCGTTTCCCTATGATTTGACCAATAAATTATATGGGCCCACTTCGATTTTGGGCTTAACTTTAATTCTTGTTGAACCTCGGCCCACCGGTCTTGAATATAAGGAGTTCGGTCTAGAAATGCCGAACTGATCCTCATCAATATATATATATATATATATATATATATATATAAAAGGGTAAATTACAAACACCCCTTGAGGTATGGTCAATTTATAAAAAAAACCCTCTTGTTTGGATAATTACATTTACCCCCATCAACTATGTTTTTTTCTTACACCTCCACCCTTATGGTGTCAAATTCAACATAATCATCTAGATTTTGTGGAATGTGCTCTAGTTTGTACTCGTTTTGTGTAAAAATACAGTTTCTGATGCACTACAATCTGATATATACAAGCCAAAAAACCCATATTATGATCATCTTGCTTCAAAATGTAGAGTTTGAATGGGATAAAACGGGTACAAAAGTGATAATATTTCATATAATCTCGAAGATTCCACTAAATTTGAGGAGTTGAGGGGAGTAATTTGACCATATCTCAGGGGTGGTTGTAATTTACCCTTTATATAATCAAAAAGAAAAATGAAAAGAAAGAAAAGAAAAGGCTAAAGATAACTCTAACAACCTGTGTTAGGTGTTGCTAGTAATTAAACACGTTTACACTTAGTAGACTTGCCTACATTATTGCAGTTGAGTACTGGACCGAGTCACTCCCGTTGACAATATACTTCATTTTTCTTTTTCACAATTAATAATGCAATTACCAAAATTTCTATCAACAGATTATATTTTAATTTAACGTAATTATGCCAATAAAAATTTCAACCACCCAATAAACATATGAAAATTAATTAAAATTCACCATCAGTTAACCGCCTCATTGACATCCACATTCCATTTTAAAATTTCAATTGAACGATGCACAGTGAGTGTTACATATTTATGTCACAAGAAAATTCGAATTTGAATCAACTGACACGAATTCTTTATTTTAATCTTTAGACAATTCGTTGCAGGACAACATATAATATTTGAGTATATGTATAAATAGTGACAATTGACTAAGTTAAAAAGCCTTGTACAACAACTTTTAGGTTGGGTACAATTATTTTGACTTTAGAGAGGGGGTTTATTGCAATTAGTAAACCATATGTTATATCGAATTGCTACAAAACTACGTTTTGTTATTGTATTGGCAAACTTCTTGTATGTTTCGATTTTTTCGAACACAAACTCCTAACCAGGGGTACTAGTTGCTAAAAAAATTAAATTATAAAGGGTTTTTACAGTTAAAATAATATGAAGGTAGTGATTTAGTAATTAGATGTAACACAAGGGTATTAATTGCAATAAACTTTTTAGAGGAACGACAAAGAATGAAAGAACAAAGAAAATTGTTTTCATCTTTCTTTTTATTGACTTTGAATGGAAAGTTGGAAACATTTGATCTTTAATATAATTATTTATGTATTAAAAAATAAAAAAAAAAAAAATGGATTTGTAAAATAAGTAGACAGCAAATAAAATAGATTGATGCTATTGGAATAAAGTGTTGGTACTGAATAACACCCAAAAATCACTGTAGGCATCCTATGAGTTGGATTATATTTCATAAAATTATAGAAATATTCAGAACTAAAATTGTATCAGAAAGAAGAGTTTCCGAAAATTCTATATACCATTCAGATTTTGTTCTAAATAAATTCGGAAAAATCAGAAATCAAAATTTCGAAAATCAGAATAAAAAAATACGGTTCGAAATTCGAATATTACCGGATTGGATCTGATTTAAAACCCTAATCGTTAGTAATTACACATCATAAATATTGATAATATTATAAATACAAATAATAATATATAAATGAAGTATGAAATACAAGATTATAGTAGAGTACAAATTGCACAATAGATCCAAACTCAAATAATGGTTAATCAAACCGACCCGGAAATATTGTAGGCTCATTTTAATTTAAAAACATATTAAAATAAAATATAAGCAAATTGCAGTGTTGAAAAGGGCAATTGCCATTGATTAATATAAAAGTGAAATACAATTATCAATATATAGGGTGGGCCCATTATTTTAGCGGTACTGTTAATTGACTTTTGCGAGACAGTATTTGGTTAAGCTTATAAGCTGTTGATAACAGTTGATACAATATTTAAGAACTTATAAATTATTTGAAAGTATTTAATATTTAAGAATAAATTTAAAAATTCAGAAAATAAACTTAGAGCTTAATAGATTTATTTAAAATAATTTACAAATTTATTATCCAGGCACTTTAAAAATTGTTTTATGGATGCTAAAATATTTGTATTTATCTTCAATAAAACATTTTTTTATTATTTTTTTTATTACTTAAATATAGAATTTTATATATTTAGTCAAGAAAATTGAAATTAAAACTAATATTAATTAAATAATTGTGTGTCATATCACATAAACCTCCTCTCTCCTCTATATAAGCTCATGGCATTTGCTTCCCTTTCAGCTTAAAATCTCACATAAACACTTAATTATTGAAAGCTAAGAAAAAATATATATACATACATACATACATACATACATATGACGGAGCAAAACGGAAAACACGAGGAGTATCTCCTCAACATACCCAAAATCAAGTTCACACAGCTTTTCATCAATGGAGATTTTGTTGATTCTATATCAGGTTTTTAATCATCTCTCTCTCTCTCTCTCTCTCTCTCTCTCTCTCTCTCTCTCTCTCTCTCTCTCTCTCTCTCTCTCTCTCTCTCTCTCTCTCTCTCTCTCTGTTTTGGTGATTAATTTCTCAAAACTAATTAATAATTATGTGTTCCTGTGATTGATTGAATCTACTTTTCTGTATTCTCCCACACAATTTTTTTTTAAAATAAAATAAAGAATATTATATTTTTATATTTTTGCTTACGTCAATATATATATATATATATATATATATATATATATAGAGAGAGAGAGAGAGAGAGAGAGAGAGAGAGAGAGAGAGAGAGACCCACAAGTTTGTATATGCAGAAAAGTCATATATATTAAACATGATTATGTTGTGTCCAAATCTTAATTACGAAAGTTATTTTGGAGTATTCAGAAATCCGATTTTGACTTAAAACTGATGAGCTACGTACTTAGTTGCTCCAATATCTACTTTTTTTTATTAAATATTAAAAAAAAAAAAAAGTAAAAATTGATACCATTTAAGATAAACGTTAGTTAAAAAGTGAGTTTAATTTAATCACTTGGCTAATTAGTCAACGAAATTCTGCTTAAAACCAGGATTTTAAATATGAGAAATATTTAATTGTATAAGAAATATTGGGGGTTATTTGTTATAAAATAAAGAAAAATCTGAGAGGAGCCGTTAACATCATGCTTGTTATTAAACGTAATTTAACGGAATATTTACCGGGTGGAAATTTACCAAAAACTTAGAAAAACCATTATGCATTGAGATTATCGAACTAGATGCTTATTTAATTAATCTTAATTGTTTCAATCATGAATGTTGTTTTTTTTCCTAATTTTAATTAAAAATAATGGGATGTGGGGATTAAAAATATATTTAAAAAATAAATAAATAAATTGCAGGGAAAAAGTTTGAGACGATAGATCCAAGAACGGGAGAAGTGATAGCGAAAATAGCAGAAGGTGACAAACAAGATGTTGATTTGGCTGTGAATGCTGCCCGTGAAGCTTTCGATCATGGCCCGTGGCCCCGTTTACCCGGATCCGTATGTCTTTTTTATTTTCCCTACTTAATTATTTATTTATCGTTTTTTTGTCTTGTGGTTTGTGGCAATAATACATACAGCAAATTACGGCTACCTACCCTGAGTTATGGTCAAATTTAGAGATGTTAAATCGGTAAAATCGAACCGAAATTTCGGTACGCCAACATTTCATATTGTTTGCCAAACTGAATATACGATTTGGTTCGGTAAATAACCGAACTACATATATATTTTATGTACAAATATTTCAAAGAAGATGTGACTGTAATTACCCAAACAATATGAGTTTTTTTGTAATTTGTCCATACATCATGGGTAGCCATAATTTGCCCTAATATAAATATATATATACTAACTCAGGGAGAAAAAAGAAAATTGTCCTTTTTTTCTTAATATATTGTAAAAAAAAAAAAATACCATATATTTCGATTTTAGTTTCTGGAAATATTTCCGAAAATTCCAAAAAAAAAATTCAAAATCCCAAAATTTTGTCAATTTCAATCCGAATATTTATAGATCTTGTAACAAGTTTTTTCCAATTTCCAAAATTCCGATGACCAATTTATTCCGATTTTTTTAGAACGAAATTGGAATTAGTTTTTCACTTCCTTAAAAAAATTCCTAATTTTGTCTCTCACAAGAACGAAACATACATCACAAGTTCATTAAAACGACCTGCACTACTCAAAAAATAACAAATCTCTATGTAAAATATCAAATGATCAGTAGGGGGGCCATAGCCCCCTTTGATCCAGAGGACTCATCATAACATAATTGTTCATTATCAGGAAAGAAGAAAGATTCTCCTAAAATTCGCGGACTTGATCGAAGAAAACATCAATGAGCTGGCGGGACTCGACGCGATCGACGGTGGAAAATTGTTCAGCATGGCAAAGATGGGCGACATCCCCGGAGCCGCGGAAACTATCCGCTACTTCGCAGGTGCGGCGGATAAAATCCACGGGTCAACCCTAAAGATGTCGAGAGAACTGCATGGCTACACACTACGTGAGCCGATAGGCGTGGTGGGCCATATAATACCGTGGAACTTTCCCTCCCAAATGTTCGCCATGAAAGTGGGGCCCGCTTTGGCTGCCGGTTGTACAATGGTCGTCAAGCCAGCCGAGCAAACGCCTCTTTCTGCTCTTTACTACGCTCATTTGGCTAAGTTGGTAATAATTTTTAGCTTCTTTTTCATATGTTATATATTGTGTCTTCTATTACAATTTATAATGTTACTAGTGTACGTCGAACGTATTAAAGATCGATTTTATTTTATTTTATTTTTTATTATTATTTTTTTTTTTGCAGGCAGGTATACCGGATGGAGTGCTTAACGTTGTAACGGGATACGGCCATTCTGCCGGTGCTGCAATTAGCTCTCACATGGATGTCGATAAGGTTTAATTTTTAGTCTATAAACCTTAATCATAACAAATATTTTGTGTTTTTTTTTCCTTTTCCCAATTATCTAATTTTTTTATTTTTTTTATTACTTTTAGATTAGTTTTACGGGATCGACAGAAGTAGGTCGTCTTGTTATGCAGGCCGCAGCAGCTAGCAACTTGAAACCAGTTTGTTTAGAACTCGGAGGCAAGTCGCCTTTCATCGTTTTTGACGATGTGGATGTTGATAAAATCGCCCATCTTGCCCTTATAGGAACTCTATTCAACAAGGTGATTTCATCTTCTTTCAAATTCCATCTTGTTTGGATCAATCGACTTTCCCATCTAATCGACCTTTTTAATTTTTCTCGATTTTTTTATCGTTTTTCCAGGGTGAAATTTGCGTAGCTGGTTCTCGTGTATTCGTTCAAGAAGGGATATACGATGAGTTTCTTGTTAAGTTGTTGGAGAAGGTGAAAACATGGGTGGTTGGTGATCCTTTCGATCCGAATACTCATCAAGGACCCCAAGTACGATTTTGACCTTCAATTTTTTTTTTCGAGCAAATTAAATATATTAAAGCATTTTGAATTACAATTTCTTGTGACCGACAATTACGGTCGTTTTTCGACAGGTTGATAAGAAACAGTACGAAAGAATTCTTTCGTACATCGAACATGGAAAGAAGGAAGGGGCCACTTTGTTGACAGGTGGTAAGCCTCTCGGCGGAAAAGGGTACTACATCGAGCCCACCATTTTCACCGATGTAGAAGTGAGCATTTCGAGAACCAACGAAGTTTTTCTTACATCTTGAAAGTACTCTCAAAATTGATATCGAAAAAAAAAAATTATCTTGTTTTTTTCAGGATGATATGACGATTGCGAAGGAAGAAATATTCGGACCCGTAATGTCTGTCATGAAGTTCAAGTAAGTAGAATCCTTTAATACTAAAAACATAACTATTTTTTTTTTCGACTCTCGTTTAAATTTTACGAAATGAAATTGACTTACAGAACGGTGGAAGAGGTTATCAAGAGAGCAAACGCGACTAAATACGGACTAGCAGCTGGAGTTATGACGAACAATTTGAATATAGCGAATACAGTATCGAGGTCGATTCGTGCCGGGGTTATATGGGTAAATTGCTATTTTGCATTTGATAGAGATCTACCATATGGAGGTTATAAAATGATAGAGATCTACCATATGGAGGTTATAAAATGAGTGGTTTTGGTAGGGATATGGGGATGGAATCTCTTGATGCCTATCTTCAAGTTAAGTCTGTTGCAATGCCCATTCATGATTCCCCCTGGCTCTAAATATATATATATATATATATATATATATATATATATATATATATATATATATATATATATATATATATATATATATAGACAATTTGTTTGTAATTTTGTACCATGTGTGTTTCAATAATTTGATGTCAAACTCAAGCTCAATAATTTGGTCACATTATTGTTATTATCTTTGACTACAAAGTTAAATCTCTATAAATTAATAGAGTCGGGACTAACAGAATTCTATTAAATTAACGAACTAATAATTTAGTAGGTTATTACGAAATCGGGACCAGAAGAAACTAATAATTCAGCTGAAAAGGAATATGCATAATAGGATTATATGGGAAATGCACCTAAAACCATAAGTTGTGTTTTTACTGAGCCACAGACTCACAGCAATAACTTACACAAACATTCCCCTGTTATGCATGCGATGTTCTTACTCTGTTCAAAAGACCAAAATGCCCTTCACACACATTTCATTCGAACGTAGAGAAAGATAACAAGTAAATAAGGAAAAAGGGGGGCTGGAATGGAATCACTTACAAGATCTCTTCAGTTCATGCCACAGGCAAAACAAGAAATCGAACGCATCGTCATCGAAATCAGCCGACGATGTGGTTGAAATGGATAAAAGGGATTTGAGCCACTCTTCGTGCAATGTGGAGAAGTTCTCCCTTTGCTCGCTCTTCTTAAAACTTCCGGCGACTATTTCCTTCATGACTTCACCAGCTTCCGAGGCTGATTTAATTACCGAGCTGGGAATCCCAGCCATGAGAGCTGTTTGCATGCCGTAGCTCTCTGGGCATGCACCGGAGGCTAGTCTGTAGAGAAAGATTAGCTTTTGGTTGGACTGTGATGGTGTTGTGGATTTGGATGTCCAGTCGAAACAGCACGCCATGTGTTGAAGTTTGACACGTGGATGGGCTGCAAACTCCTTTGTGAGAGAGTGGTAGTGTGTTGCGAACATCAAACGGCAGTTCACTGATTCAACGAGATGTCGGAATACCTGGAGATATATTGTTTAAGCCTGGTTAAATGGGCATATAACGAGCCTATACATTCAAGTTTAATTATGATCGGCATATGAAGCATTAAAAATAAATTATTAATATCAGATGAAAACGACAGCGTACGGTATATTTGTAGAAAATTGCAGAAAGTATGAAACAGTTCGATGATCTCTTCCATTTTGGAAACAGATGCCACTAGTATTAGCAAATTTATTATTAAAACATTTGGGAGAAAGATATCTTACAGCATATGCTATAGCATATCCATCAAAAGTACTCGTTCCTCGACCCAACTCATCAAGAAGAACAAGCGAGTTCGGTGTAGCATTTTGCAAAACTGATGCCGTCTCTGTGCACTCAATAAGAAAGGTACCTACAAAAGATGTTTTAACGATGTATATTACAAAGTGAGAAGAAAATAAGGCTGTCACTATCATTATATAATATCAGTAATAGCACTCCGTTTCACCCTTTCTTCAGGCCTACGCATTTCGGTTATTTTTCCTTTTGTAAGTTAGTTAATAGATTTCAGGATTCTGCATCCATGAAAAGTATGCTATTTTATCAAAACAAAAAAACTTACTCTCCCCTGTCATGATTCTATCTGCTGCACCTAGTCGGGTGAATATGATGTCTACAACTGATAGAGTGCACGTTTCACAAGGCACATAACAGCCTAGCTGTGGAAAAAAAAACAGTGGTATAATCAGGAGAGAGTAAATTTAGAAGCCAGCAAAAATAATAAAGGTATGGGTAAATTACAAACACCCCCCTGAGGTATGGCCAAATTACAAAAACACCCCTCTTGTTTGGATAATTACAACCACCCCCTCAACTCATCAAATTTAGTGGAATCTTCGAGATTATATGGAATATTATCACTTTTGTACCCGTTTTATCCCATTCAAACTCTACATTATGAAGCAAGATGACCATAATATGTGATTTTTAGCTTGTATATATCAGTTTGTGGTGCATCGGAAACTGTATTTCAACACAAAAAGAGTACAAACTAGAGCACATTTCACGGAATCTAGATGACTATGTTGAATTTGGCACCATAAAGGTGGAGGTCTAAGAAAAAATCATAGTTGAGGGGGGTAGATGTAATTATCCAAACAAGAGGGGGGTTTTTGTAATTTGACCATACCTCAGGGGGGTGTTTGTAATTTACCCTAAAGGTATAGAACTTTTTAACCAGCTTCAAACAAAGAAATCCAACCTGAGCCAGTATAACAGCCAGACAAGTTGCACGTAAGAGGGTTGACTTCCCACCCATGTTCGGCCCAGTCAATAACAATGTGCCAGGTAAGTAACTACTTCCATCTCCTCCAAGATAGATGTCATTCGGCACAGGCAGTCCACCACTCTCACTAAGGGCATAAGGATGCCACAACCCTTTCAATCGAAGTATAGGACACGTTGCATCCGAGGATGGATTTGCAAATTTAGAGTGAGGCAAAACTGTAGGTTTACACATCGCCCCACAAGAAGAAATTGCAGAAATAGCAAAGGATCTTAGTACATCAATGCAGTTTATGGCATGTATCATTTGAGCCCATTGAGTTGCCTTCTCAACAAACAACTCCATCAATATTGATAATGTTTCAGCCTCCGAATCTGTGACATTGTGATTCTGTTGTAACCAAAGAAACGGACACAAGTTATAGCATGTGATTCATGTGATTCCGATTATTTTCCTAAGAAAAATTAGTTCAGAGTGTATTCTTTATATTGCATACTTTATGCATGATACTGAAGACCAACAGTATCAAGTTAGAAACGAGCTCGGATTAACATATATAGAACATATTGCACAACTTCAAATGCACAACTAGTTCGATATATTAGCGAAATCGAACCTGGTAATTGGGGAAGTCGCTATCTATTGCTGCTTCAAACTGAGCCAGGGATTTATCAAGCCCCTCGCTGCCACTTAGCATAGGAAGGGATATCACTTTCGATAACGAAGATGTCATGATATCATGCTCTTGCAAAGGCAATAACATTTGCATTCCACTTCGCAGCCCTCTTATGAGTGAACCAAAGACTTTTACCTGTAGATGCACAAACATTTTTTCTTTATTAATTTTAACATGTGATGTGTCATATATAATTTATACTGAATATAGTTAATATACTTGCAGCATGTGTGGTAAATTAGATGGACAGACTAGGCTGAATTAAAGTAACATTCCTTTATCAACAGCAAAAGGAAGCAGCTTTTGATTATAATAAGTTAAAGTTTGGATGCAAAACTAAACAATTTAATCAGTTCATCTAAAGTATGAACAGAAAGATGTAGTCAAATAAGCTTCAGTTTCAAGAAGAAAAAAATCTTACTCGCTGTTTCAATAATTTGTTGCCAATTAAGGGCAACAACAGTATTGAGGAAGACTGGAAGCTAGACTTTACACGTCCAAGCAACCTTTCCAAATCTGGAAGCTGGCGAAGAGATTGGGCAATGTGTAGTGTAATTTCGGAATGTGCTATCAGGTCCTCAACCACAGCAAGCCTGCAGTTTATTTTATCTACATCTTGAAGAGGATGGCATATCCAGTTCCTTAAGAGCCTCTTACCAGATGGTGTTATGCAATTGTTAAGATATTTGTACAGGGTACCTAAGACAATATATTACACATTACACATCTATTTTGAAGCAAGGAGAGACAGCGAGAGAGAGATGAAATAACTACCTGATTGGCCACCATCAGCATTATTATTGAAAATCTCTAGATTTACCAACGTCTGGCCATCCATTCTGAGGAAACCCTTATACACTTCATAAGAAAAAATATCTCCATTGCGAAGGACCTCATTTGACTGAACAGAACAAAAGGTGCAGATTGCTAAGAAGCAGAAACACATTAATGATTTCAATCTTAACACACATTTCAAACTCAAAGTACGTGTAATTACCATCAATCTTGATAGATGATTAATAAGTCCGCCCAGGGCACATAATGCAGGATCACGGTGCACAACTCCATCGAGTATCCGGTGCCATGAATCACAAGACCCGCTAAAATATCTATTTGTTTCAATAATATTTCTGACTTCCAAGGCTTCGCCAAAAGCATCAGTTGGATTTAGTTGGGAAGAAGTTGATCCTACAGAATTAATAGTTATATAAAATCTTCAATTACGGAAAATCAAACATCATAATGTGCAATTAATTGGTTTTCATAGTATCCTCACCTGTCAAATTGTACTTTTTAAGAGCTTTCTGAGCATCTTTAGACAGCCCTGCAGTGGAGATCAATATAGCAGCCATGAGAAAATGCTTCAGTTTCATCATTAAAAGAAACAAAACCTGGCTTCATTAATCTGTAAAATAACACTTTTACCTAGGCCTTCATAAATAATTTCCTTTGGCGACACCTATGATTAAAAATCAAAGCAACACATAAGATAACATTATGTTATGACAAGTTGCATTTTAACAAGTAACTGGAACCAAAAACCAAGATAGAAGACATACTTGCATTAGCAAAGCCCCCAAAGCTGCACATGATGCATCGTCGCTGATAGAACCAACCCAAAATTTTAAGGCAGCACAATCCACAAATGCAAACCCAAATATACTTGAACCATTCCCCAGCAGACCATCCTAGGGGCAAAATTAAAGGCAACATAAGGAAATCATTAAATAGTTTGTTGCCAATAATTTAGCATTGCTGTATGCATGTATCATCCATTATAACATACCAAGTTCAGTATTCATGACCTTTCAGTACTAATGTGAGATGTTCGTGAAGAATCAGAAGATAGAAGAAATGCAAAACAACAGGCCAACCTCTTTTATGGCAAGAAGATGAACAGCATCAGGCCCAATATTGCCCTCACACGTGGTTGCAGGAGTGAGTACACTAATCAACTTTCTCTGAATAACCTGAAAGATCTCTTGCTGATTATTTTATGGCTCAGGTAAATTACCACAGGTCCACAGTGCTAATATAGCATGGTATAACAATCTGAAATCTAGAGGAAAACAAGCCATATAATTATTAAATGCTAGTGTTCTTTCGGATTAAAAAGGAAATTGGGATTTTGTTGCATTTCTGACATTTTTACATCCAACAGACTCTGAGTAAACATCAAAATGCCCTTCACTTCTTTAAACCTTAAGGAATACAGATATAAAAATTGTTCACTCGTTACATAACAATAGGACAATAGAAATACCCAATCTCCAACAGGCGGATAAAAGAATTCAACAAAATACTAATCAGAAGTTCATAAAAACTTACAGATGTCGAGCCCCTGGATTTTGCTTGTTCTGATGTCTCAAGTTGTTCTATTCGACCGACCTTGTACCTTCCAAAAAGATACCAGGAAACACGTTATGTTTTAGTCTTTTATGCAATTTCAAATATGTAGTTAGTTTATTACCATCTAAATTTGGAGAAGTAATGGATTTATTTTCTTTTGTTTCATCACAAACGGTCTGGAGATTTAAGTAAAGGATACACTCTTAATTGGAAATAAAGTTTGTCAACACTCGTAATTGGAAGTCTCATGCTTCTCTTTTTCGTTCAACTAATACATTTGACCAAGTTTAGCCCTCCATGCCAAGGGTCTTACCCCAAAAAGCTAAAATATAAATTTCAGTTTACTATTCAATAAAGAAGGCAACTCTGAAGCATAGCAGTGTGGATAAAAATATCAGAGACAATTTTTCATCACCATCTGAACTAAGGTATTTCCTTTAAGGGAGTCAAAATTGCAGGGAAAATTCTCATACCCACGGGCTATCAATTTCTGAACGGCATCGTCAATTCCACTCTCAGATACGCCAACCTACAAGAAGTTAATAACATATACAGAGATCAGCCTTATGGACAATTGCAACCATACATAACCGACGAGCAAGCTAAGGTGTACGCATATATGCATGTGCATATAAGGACAAAACAGTGTTTGAGTTTACCTGTCGACATTTTCCAACACCACTAAGTGTTATTTTCCAATCAAGTTCCTTGTGACCAATTTCAGCATCTAATTCATAGAGCTCATAGAATTTTCCCTGTTTTCAACGATAATATTAGAGTAAAAGTAAACAAAGATGACAGCCACAAAAAAAAAAAAAAAAAAATCACTAGAAAATCAAAGTTGCTATTTGCGAATCACTAGCATCTCAAAGCTAGATATGAGATTACTACACTCCATAAGAATGTAAACTTATTTAAGGAATATATCTCTCTCGATTTCTATAATCATCTTACAAACACATAACACATGATCGAGGGATGCTACTTATGACAATTTCGTCTAATTTTCTTGCACAAGTATCATCAGCTTAATGAAATAGAAACATTTCTATCCATGGTGAATAAATATTTCACAAAATATTAGGCATGAGTTATCACCAATATACCAACTAGAAACAATGCTCCATTTGTATCTTTTCTTAAAACATGGGATGATGTTAAATTTTATTGCTGAAATAAATCTACATTCTGTAGAGTGCTCAACAAGCAGTCTGGACCACAAGTACAATCAAGAAGAGACCACAAAATGATTTACAGACCCAAATCTGAGATTAGAATTGCTTTTAGTGCTGACCAAGTATTGATGTTAGAAAGAAAATAAAACAAGTAACTAAAACAGAAACTGACCACTTTAAAGAAGACAACCACATCCATATACTGGCGTTTGACATCCCAATACTGCCTTTGAGATGCTGACATTTTTCGCAAAGCATCAGGAGGGATGTAAAGCGTCCTCTTATCGTAAAGAGGGTCCCCTAGCTTTCTTCCATTTGCATCCTTGAGTCGAGATGGATGTAGCCATTCAAACTTGCTGATCGTTTCAGTGTCCTCATCAAGAACATTCTTTGAAACATTGGAAGACTGATGAATTTTTGCTTTTTTCCTGTTATCTGGTAGAGAAAAATCAACCTTGTCCCTGAAATTACTAATATCCTCCTGGACTCGCTTTAACCTAGGGATAAGAGGTCTCATGCCTGGTGTGTCTGGCCCAAGAACATCATCCTCCAAAGCGGATAAAAATGAACCACTTTTGTCTCCAGCAGAACCCAGTGGTCTGCTTGCACTGAATATATTTTGCTCTTTGGGTTGGATTGTGACTGAACGTTCATTGCACAAAACTTCTGGCCCGTCCAATTTCAGGGGAAGAGATTGAACGCTTGAAACATTATCCAAGTTGAACCTGCATGTTGCAAATGAATAATTCTACTTCAGGAACATAAGTGCTGGACAAATACTTCATTTAATGTATATGAAAATCCAATCTCAATCTTACGGATTCACATCTCAAAATTACTGTTAACATTGTACTTCACTTTTCCTAAAGCTAAAGACGGATAGTTTTGCATATATGAAACTTTTGCCTTCATAATTTCACCGCAGAGTGAATTCCTTAGCCACAAATACAAATATATGTCTCCTACTTAGCTACATCGAAAAACAAACTACATGCCTTGGGGAAAGAAGTTCTGCTAACATTTCTAAAATGATGCAGGCGCACTTTAGGATTTCATTTCCTATTAGCAAGGCCAAGTCACGCTCGCATTTTCCTCAACCAAATCTACAATCCAATAGCTTCTTCTCATTTATCCAGTGCCTTCACCCACCTTCCCCCCAAAAAAAAGTTCAAAACATGAGAACCCTAAACCTAAATTCAATAATTCTTACGGGCCTTCTCTTCCATATTTATTAGCAATATAGAGTCCAATTATTCTCTGTATTGTTCAGCACAATATGAAGAGTTACAGAACATTGGATGAAAAATAACCAAGCATGTTAGTGAAATTCATTCATACATTCCAATTTCCAACTCATAGTGAAAAAAAAACACCAGCAGCAAAACGAGTAAAACTAAATTACAGCACGCAAGAGCTCGATCGGGAGTGATGACATTAAATATGATGCACACTTACAATTTCCATAACAATTTCCCCAAAATTCGAAATAAAATTTTACAAAAATTGCAAACGCTTAAAACAAAATTCCACCAGAAGAAACACACCTGGAGTGAGATGAAGTATTTTGACTGAAATCGGCTTTTGAAAACTTGTGTTTGATGCTGGAGAAAAGCGACGGTCGGCTATCGGCAAAGATCTTACGCGGAACCTTCTCGGGCGGAGTGTCGGTTCCTTTAACTTCTTCATCGGAAGCATCCAGAACGACCGGTTTGCTTGCGCTCGAGGTTTCAGGTCTTTTGAGGAACGAAAGTATCGATTTCTGCCGCTGCATTTTGATTCCCGGAGGCGGAGGTGGACGGCGGCGAGGGCTCACTGTTTAGAAGACGAGAAATTGGCGCCAAACTGAAATGTATTTGGGCGTGAGTACTAAAGTGCGCTTTCTAATCTATCCCGTAGGGCATAATGGTCTTTTAGGCTTTCTGATCGCTTTAATCAACTTTGAAATTGCCACGTCAGTTTGTTTAATAAATTTTTTTTAAGGAAAAGTACAGTTTTCGTCCTTTAAATTTGTACCCATTACAGATTTGGTACTTATGTTTCAAAAATTCAACATTTATAGTCATTTCCGTCAATTTTCAGTTGAAACTAATGGAATCCAGTGAGTACCCATAATTTCTTTAACTAACGGAGTAAACAGACAGAAATGACCAAAAATATTAAATTATTGGAACATGAGGGACCAAATATATTTTTTTGTGAATATGGGTAGACATAGCCACGGGGCGGGTCGGGTCCGGGTCCGGTGCGGGTCCATCCGGGTCCGGGGCGGGTCCGGGTCTACCCGGTTTTTCAAAAAAAAAATTTTAATTATTATTATTATTATTACAAGAAAGAAAAAAAACTTATATTGAAACTTAAAAAAACATGAGATTAACTTTAAATTCAAAATGAAAAAAATAATTGAATTTAGACACTAAATAATTTTAGAAAAAAATGAAACGATTAAGACTTTGAGACATAAACTAAATAAAATGAAAGCTGTGAAGATTGAATTATAGGTATTTATAAGTGAAAGTAATAATTTTATGGTTATTCATTATTATTATGGGTATTCATTATTATTAAATAATTTTAATTAAATTATTAACAAATATAATATAATAAAAAAGAAATAAAAGAAATTGAAAGGACATGAGCTTAATTTATTTAAATCCTACGATTCGATTCTAATATTTGAATAAAATGTAAATGTAAAAAAAATGATTAAATCATATGACCTACGATTTAATTCTTACGCCTTTTACAAATTAAACCAATTATTAAAAGAGAAATCACATCATAATATTTTGATTATACTCGTCATATGGGAAGGCAAACAAGATCACGTAGCGCGCAAGATGGCCTTGATAAAAGAGTCTCACAAGCTTCTACTATTCACACTTGATTGATGTACAGAGAATGAATTTATACAAGATAATTGACTCAATCAAGCCTTAATTGAGTTATTCTAATCACGTCAAATCTGGAGGAAAATATTATAACAGAATCACGTAAATAAGGGAATTAGCTAATCATGTAAATAAGGAAATAAGCTAGGATGGAGTGATATCCTTGATATGCCCCCGCAAGATGGCATGTCGGTTAGAGATGCCAATCTTGGATCGTAGACTCTCAAATGTTGGGCCAGAAAGCGGTTTGGTTAGGAGGTCCGCCAGCGAAGCTTTGGATGACACGTGAGAAACACGTAATTGGCCATTCTGAACAAGCTTTCGAACAAAGTGATAAGCCACTTCAATATGTTTCATGCGCGAGTGGAACACAGGATTTGCGCAAAGATAGGTTGTCCCAAGATTGTCACAGTAAATGACCGGTTGAGTGGCAAGAGATATTGAAAGCTCGTTGAGAAGGCCTTGCACCCAACATAATTCCCGTGCAGTGATAGCAACAGAGCGATATTCGGCTTCAGTGGAAGAACATGCGACCGACCGTTGTTTCTTGGAACTCCAAGCAATAGGGTTACGACTAAGGAAGACTATGAAAGCGCTTGTAGATGTGCGATCATCTTTGTTGCCAGCCCAATCAGCATCTGAAAATGCATGAAGGGAAAGTGGTGAATTGCTAGACAAGAACAACCCAAGGTCAGAGGTGCCTCCCAAATAGCGTAGAACTCGTTTTACAGCTGTCCAATGATTCATAGTAGGTTGATTGGCAAATTGAGCAAGTTTATTTACCGCAAACGCTATGTCCGGACGCGTGAGCTGTAGATATTGTAAGCTCCCAACAATTGTTCGATATTCTTTAACATCATCAAGATGAGCACTGTCGGCGATAGATAAGGTGTTGCCCGTCGATAAGGGTGTCTTAACGGCCTTAGCACCAATCATATTTGCACGACCTAATAGCTCCATGATATACCGTTTCTGAGAAAGAAATAATCCATGGTTGCTTCGAGTTACCTCCACACCCAAAAATAAGTTCAGATCGCCTAAATCTTTGATAGAAAACCGTGAGCCGAGTTTCTTGATAAATGTCTCAATGGACGATGAGTGATTTCCTGTGATAATCAAATCGTCAACATAGACAATTAAATATATGATGATGCCATTATGAGCAAAGATAAATAGGCAGGTATCAGATGCAGAATTAGTGAAGCCAATGGAGAGAAGAAAATTTTGTAACTCTGAGAACCACACCCTCGGTGCTTGTTTCAAGTCGTAGATTGCCTTATGTAACTTGCATAAATGATTTGGAAATGCTTCATTTATAAAGCCCGGTGGTTGAGACATATAAACGTCTTCGGTCAAGTGACCATGGAGAAATGCATTATTAACGTCCAATTCCGTGAAACTGCGATAGAGAGGACAACTCTAACAGTTGTATGCTTGGCCACAGGTGAGAACGTCTCGTCATAGTCAAGACCTGGCCGTTGGTGAAATCCTTTGGCAACAAGACGTGTTTTGTATCTACTGACTGTTCCATTGGAGTTGTACTTTATCCTGAAAACCCACTTGCAGCCAACAACATTAGATGAGGTATGGGAAGAAACTAAGGACCATGTTTTCTGCTTGTTCAGTGGAGTTTTCAGTGGAGTTTGGTTTTGTAGTGGAAGAAATCAAGGAAGGAGTTTTGGGTTTGGATTTTTCCGTGGCAAGGCAAAGACGCTGATTGGGTTTAGAAATATTATTTTTGGATCGAGTTATCATTGGGTGGCTTGGACGAGTTGGTGGTTGTGTGGAAGATGAATGTGCAGTAGAACCAGTATTTGTGCAAGATATATGCATACCTGAAATGTTACAGGAGGAGTCCATGCTTTCGCTTGATGAAGGAGCATCGTTGGCGACATCATCAACCATAGGGGAGGCTTGAGCCGGCGGTGGAGAGATTGAAGTGGTGGATAGTTGGTGGTTTGGGATAACAAAATGAGACGGAGCCCAAGCAGCAATTGGGAGTTCGGTAGGCCTAGTTATGGGTGTTTCTGTACTAGTGTATGGGAATGAAGTTTGACAAAGTCGACATGACAAGAAATATATAAACGGGATTTCACAGGGTCAAAGCACTTATAACCACTTTGATTTTCAGCGTAACCGAGAAAAATACAAGGTGCAGACCTTGGTTGCAACTTATTTTGGTTATATGGTCGAAGCCATGGATAGCACAAACATCCAAAAACTCGAAGCTTTGAGTAATTTGGATGTCGGCCAAAAAGGGTTAAAAATGGTGAATTATTATTAAGAATTGGTGTGGTCATGCGGTTAATTAAATAAGTTGCAGCCTGGAAAGCAAATGACCAGAATGTTAATGGTAAGTTTGCCTGATGAAGTAAGGTGAGGCCTGTCTCCACAATATGGCGATGGCGGCGTTCGGCAGTAGCATTGTGTTCAGGTGTATGGGGTGGTGTAAGGAAATGAGAGATTTCATTTTCTTCAAAAAATGAACGCAAATGTATAAATTCTCCACCATTATCAGAGTAAAAGGAGATAATTTTCTTTTGAAAATAGTTCTCGACAATATTTTTGAACTTAGGAAAAATAGTGGAGACTTCAGATTTTCGTTTCATCGGAAAAAACCAAACATATTTTGTGAAATGATCAACGAAGATTAGATAATACCGAAAATCGTTTATAGATATAATAGGTGCCGGACCCCAAACATCGGAATAAATCATTTCTAATGGAGAAGAACTTTTTATTGTAGATTGATAAAATGGAGATTTGTGCATTTTATTGCACTTGCAGGAATTACAAAAGAAGTGTTTGTCTGTGGTGGGGGACGAGATATGCATAATTTGGAGAATTTGGCGAAGAGTTCGAGTAGGAGGATGGCCTAGCCGCCGATGCCATTGTGGAGCAGTAGTAGTGGCTATTGTGTGGGCTTGTGGTTGTATAGGTGTTGCTGGTGTAGTGTTAGGAAAATTGGTAGGCCATGGATATACGCCGTCTCTAGGCTTCCCTGCCAGTAGATGTGCCCCCGTTCGATAATCCTTCACAACAAACGAAAATGGTGAGAACTCGACTGTAACATTATTAGTAGAACATAACTGATACACAGATATAAGATTCTTTTGCATTTTTGGGACACAAAGAACATTAGAAAGGTGAAGAGGGCGAGATAAACAAGGTAATGAGAGAGAACCCGTACACGAGATTTGATGATTTTTACCATCCCCTAGCATGATTTCCTCACTACCATCATATTCAGAGTGAAGAGATAAATTATGGAAATCTTGCGTAACATGGTGGGATGCACCGGAGTCCAAAAGCCATGTAGTGTCATTGTTGGCCGATCGAGAGGTGTAGTTGGCCTGGGGTTTTGGATTAGACGGCATGGTTCCATGGTTGCTGCTATGTGGTGGTTCCGAAAGCCACGGAGATAGAGCAAGACGTCTGCGGCATTGTCGAGCAACATGACCAGGCTTCTTGCAGATCTGACAAGTTACTCGTGGACGGTTGCTTTGATACCCTTGGCTGAAAGAAGGCCGAGGTGACGGATATGGTGGTCCTTGATGCTTTCCAGAAACAAAGGAACTATGAGACGATCTTTGTCCACGATAGCGAGAGGAGGTAGATGGTTTGGCAGCATAATTTGCAACAATATGAGAGGTGTTTGCGGTCTCGCGGGAGAGATACAACTCAAAATCTGTGAGTTTTTCATGAAGTTCTTGAAAGCTAATGCTGGAGTCACGGGCTCGAAATGCAGCAGCAATTTCTTTATATTCAGAAGGGAGACCATGGAGAACGTGTAACACGATTTCATCCATGGAGATACGAACACCGGCGGCGGCTAGTTGCCCGGATGTCTGCTTGATCTTTTGAAGGAACTCAGTAACCGACATAGATCTTTTCTTCATGCTGCTTAATGATTCTCGAAGACTCATAATACGGCTTCGAGATGGTTTAGCATAAGTATCGGCAAGAGTGTGCCATACGTCGTAGGAAGTCTTGGCATCAACGACGAACGGAATGAGTTCGGCTGATAATGAACCAATCAAAGCGCTGCGGAGTAATTGATCTTGACAAAACCAATATTCATTCTGGGATTGATCAATGGTTGTTTCGGTTTCAATGAATTTAAGAAATTTGTAACCACATAGAAGTGAATACCATTGGGTGTGCCATGACTGGTAGTTTGTGGGTGTAAGTTTAATGGGAGTTTGGGCTGCGGCATTGATGAAGATGAGATGATTGTTGGTTGAAGTATCGATAGTTTGTGGTGGGAGGGATGTGGGTGTAGTGGGTGGAGTGGTGGTGGGGGTGGAATTTTGGCTATCACCAGCCATAGTTGCAAAAAAAAAAAATATGAAAAAAAAAAAAATATGAATTGGTGGATCAGAGTTGCCGTGAGGTTGGTGGCTCTGATGCCATAAAAGAGTCTCACAAGCTTCTACTATTCACACTTGATTGATGTACAGAGAATGAATTTATACAAGATAATTGACTCAATCAAGCCTTAATTGAGTTATTCTAATCACGTCAAATCTAGAGGAAAATATTATAACAGAATCACGTAAATAAGGGAATTAGTTAATCATGTAAATAAGGAAATAAGCTAGGATGGAGTGATATCCTTGATACTTGAGACTTCTGCTCAGGGGAGTGTGACACTGCTAACAACCTCCCACCTCGTGGAGGCTCTGGCTTGTCACTTCCTCCTCCCCATGCTCGGGATCCACCACGAGACCCTCCTCGTGATGCCCCACTAGATCCTCGGATCCACTTCTTCCCGCCCCTCGATCGGTTCAGACAACCGAGGAGGCCCTTCAACGCTATCAAGGGTTATCGACTCCCTGGGGGCTTACCAGTGCCCCCAAAATATTTCGTTCGCCAAGGGTTATCGACTCCCTGGGGTTTTATAATGCCCCAAAACATTTCGTTCGCCAAGGTTTTGTGATCGCCCCATCCTAAAGTTGGGGTTATCCCATCCGAAGGTTGGACATCTCATCCCAATGATTGGACATCACCCTTACCTTGCAACCCCAAGTGAGTTCACATCCCATCTCAAGCGCCGAATAGGGTCCCCCTACTCAAAAAAAAAAAAAAAAAAAAAAGAAGAAACGCGCGTGCACAGCACGCACGCGTGGCTTACACGCGCCAGACGCGATCGCGCGCGCGTCAGCACAAAAAAAAAAAATCGGGCACGATTCCCGAGGCAAAAAATCACGGGCACGCTTCCTGAGGCAAAAAAAAAATAAAAAACAGAAGAAAGAAGGAGACGAAGAAGAAGAAAAAAGAACAAGATGAAACAAAAAAAAAAAAAAAAAAAGTTAAAAAAAAAAATGAAGAAAAAAGAAGAAGAAGAAAAGAAGAAGATAAAGAAGAAGAAAAAGGATAAGGAAAAGAAAAGAGACAGAGAGAAAAAAAAAAAAAAAAAAAGGAGAAGGACTGGGAGCGTGCAAAGCGCGCGCGCGGGGGGCGCCGCACGTTCTGTCAGTCGCGCGCCTCGGTCCTCGATCGCGGCAGTAATTAAAAAAAAAAAAAAAAAAAAGAGAAGAAAAGGAGAGAGATAAGGGAGGGTGGGGCAGCACGTGGGCGTGACATCACGCACTTACCAAGCCCAGCTGCAACATTTCTCTCTCCACGCTCGGGCTCCGTGCACGGCTCGTCCTCACATGCCAAATAACGCGGCTTGAAGCCGCGCGGCTCTAGTTTCTGCGGCGCCTCTCACGTGCCAATTCGCGCGGCTTCTAAGGCAATCTAATCACGCGCGAATTTCGACGCGCTCTTCCAAATAGCGCCCGGAGTTTTACGCGCTTCACCAAATCGCACGCTCTACCAAATTGCGCCTGGATTTTTACGCGCTTCACCAAATCGCGCATGAATTTCAACGCGCTCTTCCAAATTGCGCCCGGATTTTTTCGCGCGCGAATTTCAACGCGCTCTTCCAAGTCGCGCCTCGATTTTACGTGCCTCACCAAATCGCGCGCGGATTTCAATACGCTCCACCAAATCGCGCGCGCTCTCTAACGCGCCTCACCAAATCGCTCGTTCTCTCCAATAATAAATAAAAATTATTATTTATCCACGCCACGCCAACAGTTAACGGAACACTACAACACCGATCTACTCTCGACACGATTCAGTATTCTTTTCGACTTGCCTCCCACATCGACTCGAGAGTGGGGGGCTTGCGAGACAACTCCCATAAGGAGACAACTCCCATGAGGAGACAACTCGCTCGGAACTACGAACCCGTAGCGAGACAACTCCCACGAGGAGAGAACTCGCTCGGTTCTACAAAAACCGTAGTGAGACAACTCCCACGAGGAGATAACTCGCTCGGTCATATAACCCGTTGCGAGGAAACTCCCACGAGGAGGCAATTCCCTCGGGTCTACGAAACCACAGCGAGATAACTCCCACGAGGAGACCACTCGCTCCATCCTATAGCCCGTTGCGAGGCAACTCCCACGAGGAGCCAACTCCCTCGGGACTACAAAACCACAGCGAGATAACTCCCATGAGGAGACCACTCGCTCCGTCCTACAACCCGCAGCGAGACAACTCCCACGAGGAGCCAACGCGCTCGGCACTACAAATCAGTTGCAAGGCAACTCCCATGAGTAGCCAACTCGCTCGGTACTTCGAACCCATAGCGAGACAACTCCCACGAGGAGCCAGCTCGCTCCGTACTACGAACCCGCAGCGAGACAACTCCCACGAGGAGCCAACTCGCTCAGCACTACAAATTTGTTGCAAGGCAACTCCCACGTGCAGCCACCTCGCTCGATAATAAGATTCGCTGCGAGACAACTCCCACGAGGAGGCAACTTGCTCAGAGCGATCTCAATCCGCACGCTCCTCAGTCGCGCGTCATCCAATGCTCCTATAACTTCGCTGCAAGACAACTCTCTCGAGGAGACAACTCGCTCGCAATTCACTACACAATCGCAACCTCAAGTTAGCACGATTACAACCTTAGAAACACTTAGAGATATTGGGAATCTATATAGTCTGGCCAGCTTGATTACTCAAATTTCTCTACTTGTTTTCGACGGGTCCTTCATTAAAACGTGGCCACGGTCCAAACATAGTTACAACCTACGAGGTCTTACAAGGGACACGATTCCCATAAAAATAAAAAATAAAAAAAAATCTTGAGAGCTTGATCCCCTCCTCAAGTACATCACGCACAAGGCTATATGTAAACACATACGAGCAACGCGTCGAAACATTGACAAGGTCAATAAATAACAACTCCCACGAGGAGATTACTTGATCCGTGCTACTACATTATCGCGAGACAACTCCCACGAGCAGATAATTCGCTACTACATCATCGCGGGACAACACCGACGACTCAAGTAACTTACATCGCGACAACTTGGTCGCGCTACGCGCCAACGCGCCTTCACGCCCCTCCGACACACACTCCAATGCGTTTTCGCACACCATCAGGCCATATGCCAAAGAACGACCACTACAATTTTTACTCTCGACACGATCGAGAACCCATTTCGACATGGCCCCCACATCGACTCGAGAGTGGGGGGCTTAATGATATGCCTAATTGGGCCAAGCCAATGGGCCTACAATTTCTTTACCTACTAGGCCACGAGCCCAATATAGAAGACCATTATCACCGAGGCCCAATCAGCTTCAAGTAAGGTTTGAGCCCGACAATCTCAGCTATAAATAAAAGTTTGAACTCATTCCTTAAGGGACGTCCTATTAATTGAGTAATACTATCAACTGTATTCTCTGGACTATTTCTATGATCAGCACGTCTGATTTGAGCGTCGGAGGGGTTTCCGCCGGATCAACCCCCGGCTTAGTTTACGTGTTCTGTGATCGCAGGTATCTCAAGGTCATCAAGCTCGTGAGCCAGTGATCTACTCTGCTCTTCCAGCTCATCCTACTTCAACACTCTAAGGTGATCTATCTTTAGCATCATCATATATAGTTTTATTTTTAAAGTAAAAAATTAATTAGAATGAGATATAATCTATTTTTGTCAAAATAAACATCATCTATATTTTTAAATAATTATCTTATGATAAAATAATCAATAATTTTAATAAGTTCTTCTCAACAATTGAAGTTAATCTATTTAAATTAATTGAAATGAGTTATAACCTATTTTTTAAATAAACATATTATTTTATTTTTCATTCGAATTTTTCACACTATCGATTTTAATAACATAAGTGAGTTTGTATTAAGTCAACGCGTTTGTTTATATATTGAATTGATTCAATACTTTATATTTTTCAATGGTGGAGATTATATTGATATAGTAATTAATAATAGATGTTTTGAAGTATTGAACCGTAATTCTATATATATTTTTAAAAGTTTCTTATATTTGCATTTGTTAATAATTTAATTAAAATTATTTAATAATAATTAATATGAAATTAATAATTTATTTAACATATTTATCATTTTACACTAGAGTTTTATATTATATATATATATATATATATATATTTATTGTCTACATTTAATCAAATATGTTCGTTGCCCCAGTGGTTAGTGTTGGTAAATTCAACCCATCTAGATACCCGGGTTCGAATCCCCCAACCAAAATCCGGGTACACCCGACGGTTCCTCGGGCCACCCCGCCGGGTAGACCCGTCGGGTCTCGGGTCCACAATATCTGGACCCGAAACCGACCCGTGCCTGGGCGGGTCCGTGGTCGCTAGGGCGGTCAACGGGGCAGATCCGGGCCGGGTCCGGGTCAAACCGGGCCCGTGGCCATGTCTAAATATGGGAGACCAAATGTGAAATTGGCGAAACTTGAGGGGTGAAAACTGTAATTTCTCCACTTTTTTTGGTCTTTTAGTCATTTTATGATTTTTTTTATTATATTTTTCTTTTTTCGATAATTGTTTCCCTAGTTAATACAAATGTAATTCATATGTAATATTTCGTGCAAGTATTGGCTATTTTACCCCGATTTGTTCGACCCTACACCCGGTGATAAACACCGGGTGAGTCTTCTGCTGCCACGTGTCTCTTTTTTGTATTTTATAATATATTCCCCGCTAGAGTTTACCTTTAAGGGTTTTAGAAAATAAAAAAAAGGACACGTGGCAGCAGAAAACCCACCCAGTGTTTATCACCGGGTGTAGGGTCGAAGGAGCCATTTTACCCCCGAAATTATTTTGTATTCTGATGAATATGATCCAATTTAAAGTGAATATACAAGAAGATCGTCTTATGATACAGACACGTTTTTATTAGGATTTGCCAGATTTACGAGTGTGAAAATAACATCGAATTACCGAAATTTATACTTGCAACGGATACACCCTTCGCCGGAGGATTATACAAAAAAAAAAAAAAATCGATAGTCGGAAGAAAAAAATTAAAAAAATCGGTACAAAAGAAAGTCAATGCACCTGATAAGGTAGTCGTCAGCAGGCGAATTACTAACATCGCCTGCCGTATAGCACAATCTAAATTAACCCTTTCCTGCATTTAGAGTTGTTCACAAGAAAATCACTCCTTACAAATTGCAAAATGATTTTACTCGAAATCTTCTGCCCCTCCTGCCGAAAAAAAAAAAATTTAATTCAGTCCCATGAAAAATATAGGGGTGTAATAAATTAAACATATGAAAATAAGAAACATCGGTTATCCAACAGAAAAACCAAGAAGGTTACACGAATCCATACAACAATTAGCACTGTAGAACCAAATTTATATATAGTTATATGAACGGAATGCTACTGAATGAGTGATCAAGAACCGATTCATTTACAGACAGGTACCTGCCATAGGGAATATTCCGGTCACTGGTCGGAATTTAAAAACATTCGCATGACAACTACCACAGGAGCCACCACTACTAATCTTCTTAGCAATCTCAGAATAAAGTAATAAATCAACCAAAACGAGCAAACTTGCTTAAGTAAACGTCCCATAAGAAACTATCTGGCGTGGCCTTTTTATTCTAGCCATTTCAACATTCTGGAAAAATCGATGATAATTGTCGAAGGTAATTTAAAAGCTTCTCCCTACTCGTGTATAAACTTAGGCCTCGTTTGGTTGCTAAGATAAGATTAGCTAATATAAGACTAAATAATCTAATAAAATCCAATTGTTTTTATTAGACCTTGAAAGATCCAATAAAAATCATGCTTACAAGGAGATAACATAATATTTGCGGGTCGACCCGGCAAGTTATTGGGGATACCAAACATCAAACAAGGTCCAACTATTTAGTTAATAATGGTTAATCTCCCCAACCAAACGAGGCCTTAGGATGCCTCTAATACAGCTAACCTCTAATACACAATCACAACATGGTTAGCAAAATTACTATAAATTAGTCCAAAAGTTGACCCGTGCTTGGATAACCAATTACACACGACCCTTTCATATGTAGACAAACGTCTAGTTTGGTTCCCAAGATAAGATTAATTAATCTTATGAAAACCGTGAGAGGTCCGATAAATAATCTCCCAATTAGGCAAATATTTAGAGCCAATTTTTTTTCTTCCTCAAAATTGTGGGCCGGCCCGAAAAGTTATCGAACTAACCAAACTTCGAGTAAGGTCCAATTATTTTAATTAATCACGACTACTTCTACCAACCGAACGAGGCAAAGAATACACAAACCATAACCACACACAATAG